GTAAAATAATAAATAATTTTTTGAAATTTGTTGTCTTTAAAATCTGTTGTCTTGAGTAGCTGTAGACTTCCTTAAAAAATATATTCTACAGATAAAATCTAATGTTGATTATCTTATATCTTTAAATAAGAAAGTTATCATATGAAGAACTGACAAATGATGGCGGTAAAATGATGGAAAATAATAAAATAGTAATATAGGAAGTTGTTAAAAAAATATGAAAATTTTATTTTAATGGTTGGATTTGTTTATAAAATCAAAGTCATCTTGAATCATCATCTTCAGTCTTTTCCATTTAGCAAGGGCTTTTATGCTCAAGTCTTTTTGCGCTTGCCCACATGCCCGCAAAATCTTTTATATGCGAGGGCATAAAAAAACGCTTGCCAAAAGGCTTTGTTTTAAATTGGAACAAAACTGTTCATTTGTGTAACTTTTATGAAAAATGGCTTTTTTTGACAGTTTTTATAAAAATTATTTTATATAGTATTTATTCGAAATATTCTGCTTGCTTTTTTTATTTTTATTTAAATAGCAGAAAATAATTAATTTTTTAAATCGCGCAAGCTAACTTAAAAAAGACCATCCTGTCAGCGCTTTTTTGTGTGCTGACATTAAATTTAAAACGGAGAAGACTGCATCTTTATTAGATCATCAAAGTTTATTTTTTTTTATAACTCTCAGCAAACCTTGTAAAATGACCTTTTACTTTTCTGATATCTGACACTAGTTATACATTATTTTGATAACTACTTTTTTTTGTTTTTGTTAATTCACCTACTCAAGGCCAAGAAGGCCACTACTGTCAAGGAGGCTACTTTTTTGTAGTTATAACCCTTTCTCAACTTTATAACTCCGAAACACAAACCTTGACAAACAAGGCTGCTGCGCGGAGAAACGGTACTACCAGGGACATGGTGGGGATCAAACTCGGAACCTCTCGCTTATGAAGCGAGTGCTCAACCACTACACCACTACCACATTTGAGTATATATTCAAAGTATTAGATCATTATAATTTTCAACCCAGAATTTCAATGCTTCTGAACAAAATCCCTCTGCCACACCATCATGGTTTAGAAGCATGATAGTGTAGCAGAGGGGTTTTGTTCATATAATACTAATTCCACCCTGTTAGTTAATCATGGTTTCAGTATTTTTAAATTAAAAGATTTAAAGAAGCAAACATGATTATTTGAATGATTTTAGTCACCATCCTTATCACACCAAAAAGAACATTCTTTATAATATTGAAAAAAAAAATTGTGCTCATATATCTGTTTATATTGAAGAAAAGCAGCATTTAGCAGGACCAGATTAATGGCTAAAAGAAATTATCCTGAAAATTTTGTAAAAAAAGTGTTGCTTGATTTGTAATTGCAAGTAGCAGGACAACAAAAAAAAACCTTGAAATTCTTCTCTTGGTCATTACATCCATTTAATAATAGTAATAATAAAACCAGCATCCATTTAGTAATAGTAATAATAAAACAAGCACCATGTTTACTGAAGCATTTTACTTCTGCTAAATTTCATTCTGTAACATCTTATAAAAGAATAGGACTGTTTAAATTTAAAGATATTTGATGCAAAATTTACTGCGTTGGTGTGTTTAAAAGGTGCATTTACTTTGTTATAATAATTTGTTACTTTTTAAAATGCTTTTTTAAATCTATCACTCGCTAATATTTGTGGTGTTCTAAGTTACTTATTTTTTGCAAAGTTCACCAGATCTACTTGCTCTTTGTGATCTTAGTGTTGATCTTCCTTTAATTCATAAAGACTCCAATAGCCACATGCTTGGCCTGGGCATTTACATTCGTTAAAGTTCACCCATTTGTCAGGAAACTAGGTTTGAATCCACAGACTATTCTTTTATGTGCTTTCGTTTAGCACCACTTCACTCTATCGCCTTTTTCTTTGTTCTATATTGCTCTCCATCTGAAGACTGCCTTCTTGAGAACTTTTATATCTATCAGCAAAACAGTTATCCAGAAAATAAACATCTGTTTACTATTGCTAGAAGCCTTTGTAAAAATATTTTGTCTAAAACCAAAGCTTGTTACTCTCAGGTCACAAAACTAAACATCTAAAAAATTAGGCTCTCGTGACTTCTGTTATTTCACCTCTCTTGTATGGTTCAGATTTTGTCACCTCACCTGAAGACAAAGCTGAGTTGTTTGATAAGAACTTTTTATCAATATCATCTCTTGATTCCACTAGTTGCATTCTGCCTGATATAGTTGGCAAACAGGTTAATCCATTGTCTGACATCTGTATCACTCTAGCTTCTGTATCTAAAGTGATTTTCTGCTTAGACTCTTCTACAGCTTATGTTCCAGACAACAAACCTGTTATAGTCTTGCAGAAGTGTTCTCTGGAGCTGTCATCTATACTTTCAAAATTATTTAACAAGTGTTAATCAGTCTTTTTTTTCTAGCCTGCTGGAAAGCGGTACCTGTTATCCATATTTTCAAAAGCCCTGGAGACTCGTCTAACTACCGTCCCATTAGTCTTCTCTCAATCATATACAAGGCTTTTAAATCTTTAATTAACAAATACTTAATCTCTCATCTTGAATCTAATAACTATATTTCTGATCATCAATATGGATTTCGATCTTCTCGTTCTACAGCTGACTTGCTAACAGTAATAACTGATAGGTTTTATTGTGCGTTAGGTAGATGTGGAGAGGTTAAGGCTATCGCTCTTGGCATTTCTAAAACTTTTAATAAAGTTTGGCATGCTGGTCGTTTCCGTATGCTTTCTTCTTACAGTGTATCAGGTAACATCTTTAAGATTATTGAATCCTTCCTTTCCAATTGTAGTATAAAAGTTGTCCTCTATGGACAGCACTCTTCTTCATATCCTGTAATTTCAGGGGTTCTTCAGGGTTCTTTCCTTAGGCTTATACTCTTTTTAAGGCCTATACTCTTTTCTTTCCTTGGGCCTATACTCTTTTATATTTTTACATTAAAAATCTTCCAGATTTTTCACACCTAAGTATCATTGTTCGTTGATGATACTACCATTTATTCTTGTCTTGATAAGAAGCCAACACTCTCTGATTGGGGGCATTTGAGCTTGTAAAGGATCTCAGTTATGTTACAGCATTAGGTTTTAAGTGGCTGGTGAACTTTAATTCAGATAAAAGTCAATTTTTTTTCAGCTAATTGTTATCAAAATAATCTTCCTATATTTATGAATGGTAAAATTTGAGTTTTTTTATGAATAAAAATCTTAAATTTATTTTATAAAAACATAATTTTTTTTTATGCACAAATTTATCTGGCTTATAGAATAAATAACATTTATCAACCTTCTGAAAAATATTTATTTTTTGTACTTATATCTCTGGGGTTACTGTGCATACATGTTATGGTTGTAAAAGTACTGCTAAAATTCTTTTTTGATATGCACATTTAGTTTTGAAGATCAGAAATCTGAATATTTATAATTTATTTTTCCATAAAAACAAAAGGAAATAAAAAAATAAAGATTGTATTTTACCATAGTTAATCTGTAATCTACCATTACTCTAATTGTGTAGTCGTAGAGTGCTTGATTAATAAAAGGAAAGTAACAAATTAGATTATTGTCACATCTAGTAATATCAACTTGTTTCTTTGTGCAGCCTTTTAACAAGCTTCTCACAAAGATTTACTATAAATTCAACTTTGAATTCATAAAAATGAATTTTGAATTCATATCTTGTGAGAAGTTTGGTAACTTAATAACCTACTCTTATATTACTAAAAGACATAATGAATACTAAATAAGTTATTCATGCCTTCTAAAAAATCATTGTTATGGGTAATTTTGCAGTAAACTTCAAATTTGTCATATAAGACAAAATCCAGATCTACTATTGTAACCAAAAACAGTGCAAATTTCGACCTGTAGCTATTTAAAAAAAATAACACAAATGGTATGTAACATTGCATAGAAAATCACTTTCATGACATCATGACAAAGGTTTAATGTTACTCTTTAATGTTCAATTTACTTACATATTCTAAATGCTGAATAAAGTTTGGTTTTTTTAAAATCCAAGTCATTTTATAGATGGCATGTTCTTCATGTTTTTAAAGGGTATAGATTTTTTATTTTCTCAATAAGTCTTTTACTCGCTTTTATGCTATTTGTAATTATGTTCCACAGGTTGCAATTACCATAAATGTCACAGAGTCTCAGAGCAAGAAGTTTTAATTTCTCATTCAATTTTACTAGCTCAAAATATATTTTTTATATATTAAATACTTTTTTCTGTTCTAAGTTTTAATATTAGAATAATAGTTTTTTTCCATATTCTCATTAGTCTTGTAATTATGATAATTATGAGAATATATATATATATATTTTAAATAAATTAATTAATAATTAAAAAAGATCACAACAAGAGAACTCAGGAAAGCAAGATGAAGAAAATGAATTCCAAAGAACTGATGTTTGAGGAAAAACACTAGACAAATAAGAGTTTTTGGAGCACTTAGGAACAGTCACAGAAAAAGAATGAGACTTAATTGAATGATATGTAACACAAAAAATAAGTTTTAGTAGATGGCAAAAGAGACACTAGCTCTTTAGAGCAGTACCCATTATAGTATTTGTAGAAAAGAGAAAGAAAAGCAACATTACGACAATTTAATAATGGTTGGAGTTTGGCTGTAAGAGCAGGTTTAACTATGTTTACAATACGTATGGCAACAGTATTTCATGCAAGGCCGGATTTAAGATTTATAGAGATTTATAGAAATTAAAATTAAATTAAAGTGCTTGTTGGCAGTTTATTTTATTTAAATTGCAGGCGCATTTTATTTATTTATTTTCGGAGTTTGACTCCCACCATGTCCCTGGAAGTACCGCGCTCAATTTAATTTCTCCGCGCAGTAGCCTTGCTTGTCAAGGTTCATGTTTCCGAGTTAAAGAGTTGAGAGAGGGTTGTACCATGATTTACAAAAAAAAAAAAAAAAAAATGAGTAGCCTCCTCGACTGTAGTAACCC